ACAGAAAGGAGACTTCTTTGCACCAGCAGATTGCTCGGAATAAAGAAACTTCTTCTCAAATGTCCCACTGAAATGTGAGAGCGCTCTGGCCAGCCAGGTGCCTGGGTGTCGCTGCCTTTTTCTAAGCCTCCTTACAGATCACTTGACACTTACAGTATTGATATGTATCCAATGCTTTCCATTTTGCTCCCCACTCCCCTGCAAGACTAACTGCGACAGTCGGAGCTACAGTTCTGTAACTGAAGACAGAGGAACAGATCAAACTCTGGGAAGGTGAGAGAACAGACAGCAGAAATAAAAGCAGTAAATCTCTGACATTAAACTCTCCAGCCAGTTAATCCCAAGGCACGTACTTGTTTTGGGAAAGTGAATCAACTGTTGAATTATGACCTCCTGAAGTTTTAAAAGCCAATTTTGGGAAGAAGAAAAAAAAAAAAAAACTGCCACAGAATGCCTAGGCTAACATGGCTTCACTCTACGCTAGCCATTACATTGTCCCTGTTTCATCTACCATCAAAAAGACCTGGCTTTTTCCAGAGTTTTGCTTCATAAGACTACAGCCTGGCAAAGAAAGGAATTGCACAGTACCAAAATAAGACAAATGCAAAATATACATGAATAGAGAGGGGACCGCTGGTCTGTTGTTTCAGTCACGCCTGCACCAGGTACACTGTTTTGGCAAGTAAAGACACAGATGCCAGACCCACCATAGCTGCCTCCGCATGTCACACAGGACTCAGACAAATGGAGAATCAAGTAAATGTGCTCAGAGGGAAAAAAATACATGCTGAGATAAGCTTTTATGGAAATAATATCATCTCTCTGATTCTTCTCGATACACTGTGAAAAGAAAACACTGTCAGGTTGTTGAGAATAAGCAACTAGGACAAATGGCCAGTACTGATGGTTTATTTTAAACAGATGCCCTTTACCATCATTTCAAAATGAGGAGGATAATCCCGTCTGTTCTGCCTTCCATGAACAGTGGTTTTAGACATGCTGCTGCACTATAAGGTTAAAGTTGCTATCGCATTTCTTTCTCAATTAACACCATTGCACAGATATCCCAAGGTAAGGTTACTCAGAAACACCTATTTAATGGCTATATTCTTACATGTACTTCCAACTAATCACATTTTCCACTAAGTAAATCTTCACATACGCCAATCCTATTTGGGGAGTTCTGCTCCTGAGAAACGCTCTCCGAAACCTAAAACCAGGATGTCAACACACTCTGCATCACGGATGCTCAGCCTCCCCCCAGATCAGGTGCAATGCAAGTCACACCGACTTCTGCTAGCGCCGGCGGCCTCAGACATGCCGCAGGGTGCCCCAGCAAGATGCCTCACACAGTTGGGAAACCTGCTCTTAAGTGCTTAGGCTGGCAAAACTGAGCTGGAATAAGTGAAATCCACACTAGAAACAAGCTGCAGGGAAAGTCTCTGCATCAGTCAAAGCACTTCTGGTACAGTCATGGCCAATCAGTAATCATGAAATTGTTGCCAATTCACAGTCTACTCCAAGCTCAATGGAGCCATTAACTAGCCCACAAACAGAGCATCATTTCTGGTGATCTTCATTAGGCACATCAGAAAACAGGAAAAATGTGGTGCTTCAAAACAAAATGAGGCAGAGGGGATAGCTTGAGACAGGACCAACATCTTGCTAATCTGGATGATGTATTTGAGGTTTTTTTCTAGTTTTGGCAGTGGATGCTACATGCTAGGAATGAGAATAGCTATTTATCTGAACACATAAGGGGAATAACTTTGCTCAAGTTTAAGGTGCTGCTTTTTCTTAAGCAGAAGACAAAAATACTCTAAAAAAAGTTTCTGACCCAGCATGTGAAATTAACAGTGAAATGAGGGCATCAGGAAGAAAGTGAAGGAAACAACCCACAGTCGGTTCAGCCGAAATAAAAACTAATTCAGTGGCTGAACAACACTAATTCTTTCAAAGTTTTGTACGTTGTAAATGTATGGCTTCATAAGCACTTACATGCTATCCAAATACATAAATAAGGTGTCCTGCCTCTCTTCCTTACTCTGGCTCAGTCCTAGATTATGATGCTGAAGTTGTAAATTCCACAGGAGAATGCTTTGGGTCTGTAAACAGACCCGTGGGTTTGGTGTGACAGTAACAGCAGAGCACTCGCAACAGCACAACCAAATTGGGAGGCCACCTGGAAGCTTGTCACAGCTGTTGTTTACTAAAGATCTCTGCAGAAAAAATCAGCTCAATGGGGTGCAGGGAGCTGAGGGTACGAAGAGTTGGAGGAAGCATGCTGGAGGGGCAGAGGGCACTGAGGAGCAGGGAAGAGTTCAGTTTTCAAAAGTCACCATGCGATTCACCTACTTATTTCAATATTACACGACTTTTGGGTCCATTTCAAGACCTAGTTTCTTTATGACAGCTCCCACGTTTAGGGATGAAGTCCTCCGGTCTCTCAGAAAACCATCCCTGTGTCACCCATTTAGGCAATGCTCATATATCCCCTTTGGGAGCTGCCATCATCCCGCTCTTACCCTCGATTGTTCACCAGAAAATAAAGCAAACACTCCTAAAGTAAAAATCTAAATGATGCTTAAGCAGCGTATCATTGTCATATGAAAAAATGAGGTCCAGTCAAGCTTTCTGCATCTTTCCTCCCCTCTGCTTGACCTCTGTCTTGTACAAAAGCTATAGCTGTATCTTTGCTCAGCTCCCAAGTCAGCCAAGCACGCAACCGGCACGCGGCTGTGTGGGAAACAGAAGCCCTCTTGGTTTTCTCACCGCCGGTACCAAACTAGTCAGAGCTGAACCACCTGGGATTCTTACTAGAATTTCTGGGGAAGAACTGGTTAATATCGCCTTTCTCCATTTTGCATCTACTAATTATCATTTCCTTTAGGCCTTATATTAGTGCAACAAAAAGCATCTGTCAGGCCAAGCATGCTCAGTCCAAGTGACCTTGTGTTCTTGTTCGTGTTTACCACATAATCAGCAGGGAATTCCATTTTCAAAATACAAGACTTCATAATCCATTAGCACTAGAGATTGGTCCAGGGCTCTGGATTTACTGGTCACGTGTACCAAGGAATAAAAATATGAGTGTACAGCTAGATTAATCTCCAGACCTGTAAAGCATCCCAACCCACCGTGTGTGCAGCAGACTCATTCAAATTCACATACAAATATTAGCATCATTCTGAAAAGCTACTGCTAATATAATCCCCAAAGTACATGAAGGAAAAATTAAATGCTGCCTGCTTTGCAACCCAGCAAGTATGGAGACACACAATAACTAACTCCACTTGTCAGATTTTCCATTTGTTTCATAAATGGAACAGAAGTACTGATGTTCTTATTAATAAATTGACAACACATATCTCCCCCAGCTATTTCTAAAAGGCAGGAATCGCTTTCAGTGCTCTTAATTTTAAATCAAAAGTCTTTCGTGAGTCCAAGCAGTTTAGCTTACCATTAAGTCCAATAAATCAGAGAAAAGAATCAATGGAAAGAATTTCAAAATGTAACCTTGGTAACAAACAAAATGCTTCCACAGAACTTAGACTCATTTGCTTTATTTGCTGCTTTAGAAATTAGAATATAACACACAGGCAGAAAGACATTAGCATCACGACATTGCATCTCCTGAGCCTGACGCTGCCTGTGCTCTCCTAGAAGGCTCTTTCTGCAGTATGCTTTAGAAATCTGCAGCCTGGCAAGCTAGATGATTGAAAACTAATCATATTTCACGTTGACAAAATTGAAAATGGAAGTGCTCAATAGAAAATAATAATCCATATTTATTCTCTATGTCCATGCAACCGCACTTCAAAAGTAATTTGGTCCATGCTTTCCACTGATAAAATGAGAATAAACTCAATGGTGATATACAGCATCTGCCATTTGAAGAATCAACATTTGTCAGTGTTACAACACAATTTTAACTGTGGCCCTACACAGTGCTCCTGCACACAACAATTACATTGAGGACGGCTATTACTCTACGTACCATCATGGGATATTTGTTGGCAAATACCAGTTTTTGAGTGGCAACATCATTATTCAATATTTATATAAGTCTACCAGGATAAACCACCTCTGATTCATGTTGAGATAGAAAATTTCAAACTATTTTGCTGCTCATCTCAGTATGTTGTAACTAAGATGTTTACTAGTTCTTATCCCCGCCTGATCTGAAAGGTATACCATTATCCCCACAGCTCATCAACGTTCCAGCAGAAAAACCTTTTCTTTAGAATAGCCTCTCCTGGCAGCTGTGGAATGCCAAACAGAGGTGCAACAAAACTGGACATTCTCCACTCTGTACATCTTCCCAAAATGCCAAATACAGACTGATTTTGAGTAAAGATTATGAACTTCTAAAGATTACATTCTCTAAACTCCTCAGTTTTCCTTCTGATTGTTTTTTGAGCAAAAAAGAGCATTTCTTTCTCAGCTTCACTACCTCTTGCTGCTTCTTTCCTACTTGCATTGAAGATGACCTTCCAACAGTGACAGCTGCCTGTTACAATGGCACCCAGCCATAAAATGCTGTTCAATTTCACAAGTTAAATAAGCATCAGAAATAACATTCTGCTAAAGAAATAAAAATAAAAGCAGATTTCTTTATTCATAGGTTTCAAACCAATAAAGGAACATTCACCATAATGTTATTAATGAAGACTATTTCTAAGGCAAGTACTCACTTCATGGCTGTTTTTTAGGGTTTTTTTCTCCACAGTAAGCACCAAACCATAAACTGTTCCAAAAAGGTCATCAAAAAAGCAGAGTTCAGGAATGAACTGGTTTCCTTTTCAACCCTACCTGAACCCCACCTGCTATCTCACATAGAAGTCTGCCCTAGCTGAAAACCAAGTCTCCCCTGAAGCCGTGCACACCACCACGTGAAGGCTGCCTCAAAAAAACAAAACGAAAAAACCCAACAACAATAACAAAAAAACCAACGAAATTCTACTACATGTAATCCACCAGGTCAATGTTTTGTTACTTACAAGGCACAGCATGGCGATAAAGGTTATCTCTAATAGTCTGCTGCAGATCGTGATCTGGTGATCCCTTCTGAAACCTCTGGTTGAGATAATGTCTCAGGTCTTTGTTCAGTCTGCTTCCTGCAAAGAAAAAAACAGCCATTTATTTATTTCTAAATGCACACAATTAACATTTCCAATTCAGGCAAATGTTAGACTTCCATTCAGAGTCCCCTAAATTATGGCATGCTGACTTTACGAGCGGAGGCTCATCTTCCTCTACAAATGGCTAATTACCAAAAATAACTCCCTGTAAACAAGAGGTCTCTCTTGTCTCATAATGCATCTTTCTTCCTGTGGTGTTAAACAGATCATCATTCCCTTTTATCACTTATTTGTCTGAGCAAATGGAGAAAGACAGATGATGTGAAAAAGAAGAAAAATAATAAAGGTAGAGTATTGCTTTTGCAGCTTGCTGGCGGGTGAGCTAGGCAGACAGACTAGGCAAAGGCAAAGACTGCTCCCATTAGAGGTACTAATATAGCTGAATGTGGCACAAAACCAAACAAGGCCTATGCTGTGCACTGACAGCTACCCCAGCACACAGCAGGAGTTAGAAAAGAATTGACTGCAGGAGTTAAGAGCACCCAAAGTCCTTAAAAACAACAGAATAACATCCAACACTTTTCGCTTGAATCTATTTATTTCCCTGTTCAGTTTCGAACACTTTCAGAAGTGCGCGAGAATAAAGATGAACAGAAAACAAACAAACAAAAAACACCAAAGAAAAAGAAACATAGTTGTTAATCAACGTTGCTAGTTGCTGAACACCAAATCCATTTTTGTAGCAGAACATACGAACTGGAGCAACTTAATGAATTCTTTTTCCAGATATGAAACATTTCCAAGTCTGGAAAACCATTAACATTAATTTGACTGAAGAGCAAAAACAACCCCCCAAGAGCATACAGAGAACAGGGATAGAAAATCTTCTGTTCTAAAAAGTAAAGAAAAAAAACCCCTGGAAAAGCTTCAGAGAAACGCAAGCAGGATGATCAGAGTCTGGAGCAGCTGCCGTACGAGGACCAAGAGAGCGACTGGGATGCTGCAGCCTGTTGGGGACACCACCTTCCATCAGGCCCAGCGGGAG